CCAATGGAATTTTTCACATTGAACCCATTTCTATACCTTCATAATGGTCCATGTTGGTGTATTATTCTCGGTACACTATATAATGTAGTACATAGACCCATTGCTAAGTAAAGACGCTATAAACAATGCCCATTACTAGACAACAGATTCCTAACACACATCAATGGACTAACTAGAGTTTAATTGGTTGTGAGACAGTTGTCAGCAAGTAAGGACATGATGGTGGAAGCTGAGGAAGCTGCAGCATTGGAAGCCATTATCAGGTGACAACCAGTGAAGATACAGCAGGCTGAGAAAACATAGTGCATGCTGTAGTGAAATGTAGAATGTGTGAGTTAGCGACAGCGCTGTAGTTACTTGTAGTTACGATCTATAAGTGTTCAGTAAATCCAGTTACCAATCCAAACCCTGTCTGTAGCCACTCATACATATGACAGTATATTCTGAAAGAACTCATTTCTAATCCTTTAGCAATCATGCTATCCTCTGGTCTGTTAAGGTGCAAATTTCGCTACGTGAAATGTTACAAGATGTGGATAAGAAAGATATACCTCAGTAATTATTAGGGCTGACTGTATCACTCTTTCTCATAAATAAGTACATAATATTTCCCTTCCATGGCTATGTAAATCTGACATGATTATATTTAGGATGCTGCCTCATCATTATGTGACCACTTCAAAATTTCTGTAATTACACAATTTTTTGCCACTGTATGTACCTACAGTTTGAGAGCCGTCCAGATGATGCAGAATTCGTGCGCCTGATGCATGATCTCCAGTCAACAGAAATTGTTGGCCACAAGTACCGTGGGTACACACTTCTCACACAGGATGGCAGTAACCTGAGGAGTATTAAAGTGAGTATGCTATTAAGTACAGTGATTTCATTGAGCTGTGCCTTGGATCAGTATATTATCCTATGAAACAGCCAGTTGCCTTGCTACACATCCTGTATTTTGTACCCATTCCTTTCCTGCTCGTCAACTTCCAGCCTATACCTCCACTCCTGCATCCACCAAGGCCCTTCCTACTGTTTGGCATGCTGTAAATGTGTTATCTATGTGCGGGATTGAGCAGCTGAATCAGTTCGAGCTCCAGCTTGAGCCATATATTCTGAGAAGGTTAAGCCCAGGATTTCAGAATGAAAGAGCAGGAGGTGAGTCAACTCTGCCGGTTCCACCACAGTTTGACTCTTTTATTCTCTAGCCCTACCTCACATGTTATCCCTGGTGCTGTGATTGTAAAGAGTATTGTTTTGACATTTATTCACTGTCTTCGGGTCTTAATCTGGGAATTCTATATCTCTGTATTAAACAAAACCAATAGCAGTGAAATACTGTAAACTATATATGGGTCTATTGTGTTCTTACTCGTATCATGGCATCATCTGATTGTATTCTTTTGGGTTATTTATTGCGCCCCATTGACAATGTAATTTGTCTTATTCACACTAAGTAATTCGGAAAGAACATAAGAAGCTTTATTTAGAATCCTACTTCTCAGAATCCTGGGAAGCAAGTCTTATACAGTCAACTCTCGATTATCCGGGGGCGGATTAACCGGTTTGCGGCTTAACCGGGGCTTTTTNGAGTTACCACGAAGACAGACCCTTGATAAACGGTCTGTTGCCAAGTTACGCAACAGTGGAACGAGGTTATGCAACAGTAAGGAAAGCGACGTTTCTCCATGCTGTGCCTAGCTGAGCTGAAGTGTGCTGGTTGCTATGCAGCAATATACAACTCTCAGCAGCGTTTCCCATCTCCACCTCTGTAAACACAGCAATTACACAACAGTGAAGCGAGGCGCGGTTTTCCGCTGTCTGACTGAGGGTTTATAAGAGAAATTAGAATGTGTTTTGATTGTTACTTGGGTTTGTTAACCACTTACAGGTCATAACTACAATTACTTATAACTCACTTGCGGTTTAAACACTTTACAAACCCTACACACTATCATCAGTATAACACGCATTCCATTCTTCTTCCCGCGGCTGTCTCGCACTCACTCCAAATACTCGCCAAATACTCCAAATACTAACTGACGCTGTCTTTGGAGGCTGCTACATTTCAACTAACACTGAACACTGTCTCATTTCACTTGATATAACTGAACTCAGCAAATGCTAGACTTCAACTGAACTGCTTAGTCAAAGTCAAAGTCACATTGCGACTGACAGCCAGTCAGTCAGTAAATCTTGGTGTCGAGCCCCATCTGGGGCCCATGACCAGATATTTATTACTGTTTGACAGTTACAGTCTTGTTTTGTGTCGGGCGCCCTCTCTGACAAGAGGATGGGTCTGTCTTTTGTATATGCTGCTGGTCCTTGCCAGTGCAGTCTTCTTAGGTCTGAGTCCCTTGGTACTCACAACCATATATGTGTACTACTGTCTCAGATTTAAGACTTCCCGTTTCCTCAACTCTAAGGAAAAGGGAAGTCTCAAATCTGAGACAGTAATATATGGTCGCAAGTACCAAGGGACTCGGGCCTAAGAAGGGAGCTGAAGAATCTCCACTGCTAGAAGCAGTTAGAAGGCAGCAGCTGTTGGAGATATCACAGACTAGAGGAGACGTAGTGTGTAGTGACTTCTAAAGTGTGGATATCAGCAACAGTTCTCTAACTACTCGTAGTTCCTTGTGATGAGTACAAGTGGTCAATAAATCCAATTTTCAAATCCCTACCCCATCTATAGTACCACACATAAATACATAACACTATTCTTCATAGTCACAGATATGAGACTTGAATCTCACGTTAAATTCCATTTGTTCACATACACAGTATGTAACTTACACCTTCAGTAGTGATAATTCTTGTTATCAGGAAGAAATTAACAAATAACAGAATTATATCTTTCATGACACAATAATTTTTGTTCATTCAATAATAATTGCTATTAAATTATACATTTAGAATTAAATTTTGGGAAGAAAATTTTTTCCGCAATCAGCATTTATATAACAAAATGTCAGAAACATGTTTGAGTGTCTCACAATACAAACCAGTTCAGAGCTACCAGAAATGATGCACTTGGTGTCTGTCTGAAACAATATAATCGATATCATGACCCAACATATAAATGCAAACAGAATCATACCATTAACCTACTTATCAAACAGCCTGTAAATTATCTGGCTGTGACCTGTGTCCAGGGTTGCATTACTGGTAGGGCAGAGCCTTGCCTTCTCCATTATGTTCTGACATGCTATATGTCCCTCCCATCATCATGGTGGTGTTATGGTATATGAGTTCATCTCCTTCATGTGTTGCCATGTGTTGTGGTGAGCTGATTTGCTAGCATACAGTTCTTTTATAGGAAGCTTAACCTATAAACTGTGTACTGCTGTAATCAAAATGGAGACATTATTAATATTCTGTAGTAGTTTTGAAACATAATATCTTTCATTTGTTCATTTCAGTTCTACCCTGGAAGCAAGCAGCCTGTCTGGTTTGTGTTCACTGGTATAGGCTCACAGTGGCCAGGTATGGGGAAATCCCTCCTCACACTGCCAGTTTTCGCAGCTGCCATCAACAAGTGTCAGGAAGCTCTGAAGCCACATGGTGTAGATGTCATCAATATCATAACATCTGATGATTCCAGACGCTTCAGTAACATCCTAAATTGCTTTGTGGGCATTGCAGCTTTCCAGGTGTGTATTCAAAAATGAGTGATTCATTGTTCTTATGTTTCTAAGAGAATGTGGCCAAAATTTTAAAATTTTCCCACAGAACCCTGTATGACTTACATGGATGTGTCTGCCCAGAAATGCATTACATTTTGTGTAGAGAAAAACAGGAAGAATGTAGGCTTTTGTTGTTATTAACTATGTGTCATGGAGCAAAATGTATTTTGAGGTACCAGTATGTATTTCTGATGTAGGTTGGGCTAGTGGACATCATGAGGGCAGTGGGAATTGAGCCAGATGGCTTTGTGGGCCTCTCGCTGGGAGAGCTGGGCTGCAGTTACATGGACCACTGCTTCTCAGCTGAGCAGATGATGTTGGTAGCATACTACTGTGGCCGTGCAATCCTAGAAACAGAGCTCATCAGGGGTTCAATGGCTGTAGTCTGTAAGTCTTCTACATTCAGTCACATTGCACAGAAATGCATGTCTGTTGCTCATCCATTAGGATAAAGAGAATGGGATTGTATTTGTCTTTGCTCAACTGTTAGTGCTTTAGAATTGTGTTAGCAAGATGTCAGACCTTGACCAGCACTGACTGAGGATTCTTGTAGTTTTCCTCAGTCCCTCCAGCTTACTAGCTAGCAGGATAGCACTTCAAATTAGTCCATGACTGGTTTCTTCCGCATCCTTCGAATTCATTACACAGCAGTCATCCAAGTATTGAACACTGTATCATCTGAGCTTCATACTGACATTAAATACACCATAAATGAGGAAGTACACTATAAAATTGCTTGCATTTAAGGGCCCTTGATTTTCTATATGTGTACAGAGACTGACTAACCTACTTCAGCTTTTTTGTATTCTTTATTAGTGTCATCAGGAACACATTGAAACGGCACCCTAGAGTGACCTGCATCAGTTCACTTTCCCTCACATCCTTCCAAATTCATCATCCTTCATCATCCATCATTTGATGCAGCTTGGTTTAAAATTCATTGTGTAATAAAGACATTATAATGAAGTAATTAACTCTTTGTTGATATTTGGCATTTAGAGTTCTCAGTCCACATTCTCGTTTTATGGTGGTCTAAGGAACGGTATGTATGTATGTATGGAAGAGGTGCTGCATATGTTTCATCCTCCCAGTCTAATCTATTACCATGGAGCTGTCTGCTTGTGTCTTATCACATTGTGGTCCTACAGGTCTTGGGGCTCAGGAAGCCAGGAAGCTGTGCCCACCTGACATTGAGGTGGCATGCCACAATGGCCCTAAATTTTGCACACTCTCAGGTCCAGCTGAGCCTATGAAGAAGTTTCTGAAAATTCTACAGGAAGATGGCATATTTGCTGAGATGATGGACTGTGGCAACATTGCTCATCACAGCAAGCACATGTCTCCAGTTGGGCCTCTCCTTCTCAAGTACCTGAAGGAGGTAAAGCACCTTCAATGTTCATGAGTCTAATGAATCTCACAATAGGCACATCCTGGGTTATGTTTCTTAAATGTGTAGACTGGTTTAGAGGGGGATAGTTTTAGCAATCTATGACAAGAGAGTTGGGTAGTTTCTTCTAGTCAGTTATTAGATATATCTGGGTTAAGTCAGATTTCCATGGTTGATCTGCGTGAACACTGTTATGAACCCTCAGGTTTTATGAAATCAAGTTGCCCAGCCAGCTGTATAACTCTCAACATTTTGAGGGAACCTTGCAGCATTGGATTTGTTTAATCAATTAAGGTACACAAGGTACTCTGTTTCTGTAATGTATATATGGGGCCAGACGTTTAGACAGTCATTGCTGTGACATGGCAGTTTTTTTTTTTTTCCACCTCTTGTGAACATCCTAGGCCAGAGCCACATGAGAAAATTGTGGATATTAGCTACAGTAACCTGGCTGTTCAGTTTCCCTTGTGTTTCTCAGACCATCTCAGTTATTTTTGTATATGAAGGTGTAATGCTGATTAAAATTCAAAAGGATTAGGGATCAGGAAGTGTGATCAGAATTAAAAGGACCAATAATTTATTTGTGCTCTAATAAAAATAGTATTTCCCAATTTCATATCGGAAATCTAAGACTCATGCGTGTCTAATAGTGGAAATAGTACATTCTCTTAGTTGTCCTTGTGCCCTTACAGTTTATCCCACATGCAAAGCCCCGGTCTCCTCACTGGGTGAGCTCTTCAGTTCCACAGAGTGAATGGAACAGTCCAACAGTAACACATTCATCAGCTGAGTACATCACCAACAACCTGCTTAATCCTGTGCTTTTTGAGGAGGCATCACGACATATCCCGCATAATGCCATCACTATTGAGATTGCTCCACATGGGCTACTGCACCCCATCCTGGAGCGTTCCCTCAACAAGGGCATTACCAACATTGCCCTTACACAACGAGGTTACCCAGACTCCACTGAGTGGCTTCTCACTGCTCTGGGCAAGTGCGTATTTTCTTCATATGTGACATGAAATCACTGGTGGGCATTATTGGGAGTAGAGTAGGAACATGATTGCTCTCATTCTGAGTATTCAACAAATCTGACAGGAAGAGGAGTTAGGAAACTACATGGCAAAATAAGGGGACCTGGTGGTCTTGGGGTGAGATACTGCACTCTTATTCAGACGATACTGAATTTTGTCCCCTGTCAGATTTGTGTGAAGATATTTCTACTCATATGTACTGAAAACATCATCTCATTGAAAGATGAAACTTTGGACTGTGAAGAATACCAATCCCCCTCCAGTGGTTTAGAGCCCAAATGAAGTTCTTGGCCCCTTCTGGCAACCATAATCCTTAAAATTGTCATACCATTAGGACAACGATCCCATTTGTTCTCCCACTTCAGAATAGGATTATATGCTCTTGCCTTGGTGGACAGAGGTCAGAAATATCGAGCAGAATTGAGGCACTAGAACCCAAGCAGCCTACACACCACATCACATGCACATTTCTGTATTTATATATTCTTGAAGTTTCCTGTGGGTATTTAATCTTCATTGACTTGAAAATAGTTTCGAAAGTATTCATAACATAAATAATACACCTCATGTGAAGCCACAGATTTTGTCAAGAAACATTCCTTTGTCTGTTTGCTATTCATGATCATGAAGTAGGTCATCAAGTCATTGTGGTCAGACTAAGTCCAATTGTCCCCTCAGCTGGTGACAGATTCAGCTGTAGATGTCAGTTGAGTATCTTTGACAATATTCCAACTTATTTAGGCCTCCAAGTAAAGTGTAATCAAGCTTGTCCAGTTTTGAACGAAACTGATTTTTCAACAAATTGTTATCTTTCATTCATAATTAATTTACTCCTGCACTAATTGAAAGGCTGTTTTGTATATCTTATATTTATTGGAACAGGTATTTGGAATGGCCTGATGACATGCCTTGAGTTTAATTTGAAAACATATACATGAAACCCTGGCATCAAAAGCTAAGCAACAACTTGCAATCAAAATTCAGTTATATCACTGAAGCATCTCTGCATAAATAATTTTATTTTGGGTTATTTTAAGGAAAGATTTCAGCAAACTGAAAATGGATATATTTGTGCTTGATATGGCTGGCATCAAGCATAGGCACTGACATGCCCAATGTTGGCACTGAAAGGTTTTATGAACCCTGAGTATTGCAATCTCTTTTATTTCTCACAACAGTTCTAGTAGTGGTATTCTAACTGTTGCAGATTGTACGAGCTGGGTTTGCAGCCACAGCTGGCAAACTTGTATCCCCCAGTTCAGTATCCTGTAAGCAGGGGGACTCCAATGATTTCACCACTGGTCCGCTGGGAGCACTCAGAGGACTGGTACGTCATGCACTGCACGACAGAGGTAACTCCATATTTTGATTGTCTGTAAACTTGCGTGTTTTCTGCAATAGCCAAACACAGCTAAACACAGATATTTTGTTGTGTGACTTGATGTTAACACTTTGCACTACATGAGCTGATTGGAATGGCTCAGTGTACTTGCGTTAAAACTGCCACTGCCAAAGAGTTCTGTTCATTGTTAATCATGTAGTACAACACTGCTGTCAATATGTGGCATCAGATGTGATGTACTCATGTCCAGAGGAAAGAATGGGCTTTCACACCAGTTATACCTGTCGCCAATTTCAGGTAATCTGAGGAAGTTTCATGGTTCTTTCTTGTAACTGAATTTATCTCAAGCAGCCTTGTGTTCCCAGCAGAAAACTGTATGCCAAGGCTTGCGGTCAAAGGGCTAAACAACAGCATTCACTCAACCTAGTAGTCCATCTTTGTACATATTTCTAGCATTACATAATTCCATTACATGGAAGATTTCAGGCATATACCTTATAGTTGAATTTTGTTACCATGTTTTTAATTCTCAGCATACAAGATTATGATATATAACAATATTGTCTATCTTCTGCAAACATTGAATGATGGCAATTTAAATATAGACATTGCTCTGTCGCGGTGTCATTATTTATGTAAGGTAAAGTTTTCCCTGTGCTTAACTAATTGAGAACTGTGCCATGAAGGTGTATGGAGGAGTGAATGTATAGATCCACATTTTCTTCACCTTGGCATTAGCTGGAGGTGAGTGGTCAGCTTCATGCACTGGCCACTTTACCCCCGGAGAAAGAGTCCCCTGTACCCATTGGGTAGGAGATTGGGCGGACCCCAGAGCCAGTCTGGACAATGTGGAGAAGAGAGAATTCTTGACCCTACTGGGACTCAGAACTCCAACCCCTCAGTTGTCCAACCCGTAGCTAGTCACTATACTGACTATGCTGTCCCGGCTCCAATACTCATGTTTGATACAAAAATTACTTTTTGGGTAGTTACAGTTTCTCATATACACATTTTCAGGACCTCATATTTAAATGCTTCTAATATTTCATCCACCTTTTGAATCATACAGTAACTATGCTGTTATTTGTTCTAAGCTTTATTGGATTACTGTGGAATAGCATGGCAGTACTTCATGGCTCATAGGTAAGAAGGTTAAACAGCTACTGGCCTAAATACTGTGGCAAAAAAATTTGACAGTCACACCTCTCCCAGTATCACAAACTATGCCTCTAGAGGGAAGTATATGAAATTTATATCTCCTGTTGCATACTTTCCCAGTTTGTTGTATAAAAGTATTTAAAATTAAATTTTGTCTCACATGTCTGTGTTCTATGTCAAAGATGTGTATTTTCATGCCATAATTTCACTCTTGCCATTTTCTTCAGATTATGTTTATATATGGCTTTATGTACATGGCTTATGCCGTAATTTTTTTACAGCCCAAATTCAGATCTGGTGAGCAATCTGTGTCCATCAGCTTGCAGGATGAATCAACGGAATACTTGTCAGGACATATTGTTGATGGCAGAAATCTGTTTCCTGCCACAGGCTACCTTGTGAGTTTTATGAAACTTTATCATCCAAAAAAGGATACTCTTTCCCTCTAAATGTAGTTTCAACCAACATAATGGGAATATGCTGCCCCATTACGTCTTGTATTATTGAATTTTCTTGTAGTTTACAAAATAAAGCTGATTTTCATTGTGTGTGTCTGATATAGTTACGTATAACTGAATCATTCATATCTAAAAAGGGATTATGCTTTCTGACCTTGGACTGAGAGTTACAGAGTCTTACATATATATGGTTTTCTTCAACCAGCCATTGTTGTCTCATAAAGTATGAAAATGAGATAGATATCTAATTATACTGCAGGAACTCCTCTGCTTATCTCATAAATACTTTCATAATGTTCACACACAAGCATACCTGAGAGGAACTAATCTCCTGGTTTCCTTTGATATGACACAGACAGTGTAGAATTCGAAACTTCCAACAATTCTTCTATTGTTACGTGTGTATTCTTTGCTGTGGAAACGTATTTACCGAGCTGTTGCCTAGCAATGAAAGGGGGAGTACACATGCAGACATAAAGACAGCAAGGAGTCCTCACAAGCCTACTTTTATTTTTTTTCCTGAAAAAGGAAGTTGGTGTCTCCACCTTATCGTGGTGAGGGGGTTTGAGTATGCCAAGGACCCTGAGAGCTATACCAGCGGTAGCGTAGCTACTGGCAGGGCCTCCCTTACTGGACAGGTAAAAGGGTAGGCATCAGATGAAGAGACACATGAAAACCCAAAAACTGATGCCGGAAGCAGCGTTATCAGCAGTGACTTGAAGCACAGAGCAAATGATGCTCGAGATGGTTCAAGTTCGTATAGCAACAGGCGTGACCAGAGTGGTTTGAACGGCTGTTGTACTGCGATGTGGAAAGCAAATGGAAAAACTACCACATTATCACTTTT